TCGAACTCACATTCCTGAGATCAAGAGTCGCATGCTCCACCAACTGAGCCTGCCAGGTGCCCCAAGAACCTGAGTTTTTTAAAGATGGTGTTTGATGCATACATATATCTTTTATGAACTTACTTTAGACTTTCTATATAACATCCTGCCATGTCCTTTTTAAAAACTTTTTTTTTAGTATATATAATACTATTTACCTTTTTCCTCTGAATTTCAAAATTGAAATTCTATTTTTAATTCTCTTGTTGTTCCTTTTATAATTCCCTTTATATCCTATGTGTCTATGTTTATTTATGTGTAGGATATAAAGGAAATTGTATTGTGATGAGGAGATTAGTGGGGAATTCTCTCCTACCCTTATTTCATTAATTCATGTTTTATTTGTATAAGATAGGAGTTCAGATAAAATTATTACTACTAAATTATTATCTTTATATAATGTAAAACACATTATGTTTTTAAAAGCATAGTCCCTGGAATCACACTGCCTGTTTGAATCTCAGCTCTGCCACGTACCAGCTGTGTGACTTCACTAAAAGTACTTAACCTTTCTGTCTCGGTTGTCTCATTTGTGACATCAGGATAGTAATATTACCTGCCTCATTGCTAGGATTAAATAATTAATATACTTAATGCACTTAGAGCATTACCTGGCACATAATAGTGCTAGGTAAGAGCTTGCTGCTAGTATCACTAGCATTCTTTTTGAGGAATTATTATTGACATTTACTTTTTATTTTATAAGCATGGTGATTTATTCTTTTTGACTATTTTTGTTGTTGTTTCTTCCTCACTACTAGTATTTTTATTATAACTTCTTTCTCGAAGTCTTACTATCATGTTATAATCTTACCTCTTTGTACCTCTGTGAGTAATTCTTTTCAGGCATGATCTGTCTTATTTGCTACTGTATTTTTTGTTTATTTGTTTTCAGTCCCTAGAACATTGTTTGGCACATAACAATTGCTCAGTAAAGATTTGATATGTTTGGAGCCCTTGCATATCTGTTAAGCTCTGGTAAAAAGGTGGGCTAGAGGGAGATTGCATGGCAGGAAGAGAAAAAAGAGACTTACTGCCTTGTGTTTGTGTCCTGTTTGCTTTCCATCATCCTAGCAGGGTTTCTTCACAGCAGTTCCTTCCCACAGCTATAGCTGAGTCCAGTTTGCAGTTTTTCTAACACTCACAGTACCAGCCTAGTGAACCCTATGTCAGAAATGTCAGCACCACAAGCCACTTGGCTCCCACTCCTCAGGAGTTCTGTATGTCAGCCCCACAGGGCTCTTCCTTCAGGAACACCAGCATCAGCCAAACAGCTCCCTCCTGCTACAAAATCTTAATATAACTTTCAGTACACCAAAGCATTTAAGATATGCTAAGAAGATAACATTGAGTCTATCAGAAATAATGGTTACATTTGTCAAAAGCATTCTATTAGTAAGGAGTTGAATTTAGAATCTTAGTTTTACTTTTTGTTCATTGTTGAGGTTCATTATGGTACATTTAACTTGAGAATAGATTCTTCTTTCGCCCAGAAGATCTTTCTTCTTCTCTGAACTCCTATAGTTCTCTGAACTACAAATATCTATTATATTAGTTTCCTTTACCTGATATAACAAATTAGCACACAGGCAGTAGCTTAAAACAACACAAATTTGTTATCTTACAGTTCTAGAGGACATAAGTCCAAAAATGGGTCTTATGAATTAAAATCAAGGTTTCAGCAAGCTGCCTTCTTTCCTGAGGATTTCTAGGGGGAAACCATTCCTTCCTTGCCTTGTCCAACTTCTAGAGGCTGCCTACTTTCCTTGGCTTATGGTCACATTACTCCAACCTTTGCTTCCACCATCACATCCCTCTGTCTCTCCTGCTTTCCTCTTATAAGGGGCCTTGTGATTACATTATGTCCACCTAGGAAATCCAGGGTAATCTTCTCATCTCAGGATCTTTAACTTAATCACATCTGCAAAGCCCTGTTTGCCATATAAGTTAAAATAACCACAGGTTTTGGGGAAGGACATGGACATTTTTGGGATTCCATTATTCTGCTTACCATATCTTTCTTTTATTTAGAATCATTAAATGTCAGAGCTGGAAGGGACACTGGATGATAACTTGTCCAATCCCTTTATTTTATACTTGAGGAAACTGAATGAAACAAATGAAGGTTGTTTGCCTCTGAGCTTGTTTTAAGGTTAGGAAGAAGGCCTTATTCATGTTTTGTATGCTTAAATATACTTAGAAAAATACCTTGAGCATTTCAAGTACTCAATAACTATTTGTTACCTGGTTGAATAAAAGGTTAGTGATGGAAACCAGATATATCTGGTCTCTAATTCTTTCATTTTAAGTTGGTGCTAATAGAAGTTTATTTAAAAAAAAAAAAAAAAACACTGACTAAAAATACCACAAGGAGTAATGATTTCTTCATTAAGCTTACATTCTGTAGTTAAAAGAAGAAATCATTCAGTCTTAAAAATAATTACCCTTTTTTAGGATTCCTTCTCTTTTTATCTTGTCCACATCTCTACTTTCGTCTACCCACCCTTTTCCTATAAAAAAATGAACGAAGGAATGAAGAAAGAAGAAGGAGGGAAAAAGGGAGGGAGGAGGGAAAAGGGAGAAGAGAAAAATGAAAAAGAATGAAAGAAAGAAAAAGAAGAAAAAGGAAGGGAGAGAGGGAGAGAGGGAAGGAAAAGAAGATACAGTGGAAGAAGATTCGCTTAATTGTTTTGCTAGAATAACTAACTCATGGAATCCAGATTTAGATTCTTTGACACTGCTATTTGGCTGTGCTGATAAGATAAACCTATATTTTTGGTGATGTATATAGTTTATATATGTTCAATAATTAAGATAATTTAGAAAACAATATCTTTTAAAAACTACTTCATAACTTTAGAAAAACTTTTAGAAACTTAGGTTTACCTTTTGACTTATAATTTTTTTTTTTAAATTTTATTTTATTATGTTATGTTACTCACCATACATTACATCATTAGTTTTTGGTGTAGTGTTCCATGATTGTGTATAACACCCAGTGGTCCATGCAATACGTGCCCTCCTTAATACCCATTACCGGGCTGACCCATCTTTCTACCTCCCCTCCTCTCTAAAACCCTCAGTGTGTTTCTCAGAGTCCGTAGTCTCTCATGGTTCGTCTCCCCCTCCGATTTCCCCCTGCTTCATTTTTCCCTTCCTACCATCTTTTTTTTTTTTTTTAACATATAATATATTATTTGTTTCAGAGGTACAGGTCTCTGATTCATCAGTCTTACACAGTTCACAGTGCTCACCATGGCACATACCCCCCGCAATGTCCATCACCCAGCCACCCCATCCGTCCCATCCCTCACCACTCTATGAACCCTCAGTTTGTTTCCTGAGATTAAGAGTCTCTTATGGCTTGTCTCCCTCTCTGGTTTCATCTTGTTTCATTTTTTCCTCCCTTCCCCTATGATCCTCTGTCTTATTTCTCAAATTCCTCATATCAGTGAGATCATATGATATTTGTCTTCCTCTGATTGACTTATTTCGCTTAGCATAATACCCTCTGGTTCCATCCACATCATTGCAAATGGCAAGACTTCGGGTTTTTTGATGGCTGCATAATATTCCATTGTATATATCTATACCACATCTTTTTTATCCATTCATCTGTTGATGGACATCTAGGCTGTTTCCATAGTTTGGTTGTTGTGGACATTGCTGCTATAAACATCGGGGTGCACATACCCCTTTGGATCACTACATTTGTATCTTTGGGGTAAATACCCAGTAGTGCAATTGCTGGGTCATAGGGTAGCTCTATTTTCAACTTTTTGAGGAACCTCCATACTGTTTTCCAGAGTGGCTGCACCAGCTTCCATTCCCACCAACAGTGTAGGAGGGTTCCCCTTTCTCCACATCCTCACCAACATCTGTCGTTTCCTGACTTGTTAATTTTAGCCATTCTGACTGGTGTGAGGTGGTATCTCATTGAGGTTTTGATTTGGATTTCCCTGATGCCAAGTGATGTTGAACACTTTTTCATGTGTTTGTTGGCCATTTGGATGTCTTCTTTGCAGAAATGTCTGTTCATGTCTTCTGCCCATTTCTTGATTGGATTATTTGTTCTTTGGGTGTTGAGTTTGATAAGTTCTTTATAGATTTTGGGTACTAGCTCTTTATCTGATATGTCATTTGCAAATATCTTCTCCCATTCTGTCAGTTGTCTTTTGGTTTTGTTGACTGTTTCCTTTGCTGTGCAAAAACTTTTTATCTTGAAGTCCCAATAGTTCATTTTTGCCCCTGCTTTCCTGGCCTTTGGTGATGTGTCTAGGAAGAAGTTGCTGCGGTTGAGGTCAAAGAGGTTGACTTATGATTTTCTTTCCCTTGTTAAGGAAGGATAGTTTGGACTCTTGATTAAAATAAAATTAAGAATTAAAAAAAATTTATCTGGCATTTCTTATTAAAAATCTAGATTTTAGGTTTAGAATATCATCCAGAATAGATAAATCACTTACTGTTGTTCAAGAAAAAAAGCTTTGTTTGATTTTGTTTAATGATTGATTTTCTTTTTGTTAATATTCTTGTAGTTTATATAGAATCTGATTTATTTTTAAATGTGTTTAAGTATATTAGGTATGGTCCTTGAAATAAAGTATACCTGAAGCATAATGTTAGATTCTTTTCCTACTTATATCAACATGGTCTTCCATTGGCTGTATACATGTATACATGTCTGATTCTAAACTTGTAAGTTATACAAGTTTCTATAAACACTAAGACTGCATACATCTATTTTTATTTTGTCTACTAACATGCTACATGTAGAGTGCTTATTAGCAGGTGTAAAAACGGACCATGATGCAAAAGTGCCAAATAACTGGTAATGGTTGTTACCATATTGTCATTCTCTCAGTGAGCAAAAAGTTAATTTTAAGTCAACTTTAGAATGTATTCATTATAATAAATTATATTCATTGGGTGAAAACATAATCTGACTTTCGTTTTCTTGGCAGCAACTTGAATTGGTGGAACCAAGTGGCTGGATTCACGTACCCTTAACTGATAATCATAAGAAGCCAACTCGCACATTCATGATACAGATTGCTGTTCTAGCCAATCATCAAAATGGAAGAGACACCCACATGAGACAAATTAAAATATACACACCAGTAGAAGAGAGCTCCATTGGTAAATTTCCTAGATGTACAACTATTGATTTCATGATGTATCGTTCAATAAGGTGACCTTAACACAGGACAAAAGTCATTAAACATATCTTTGTTTTATCTTGTCAGTAAATATTATATCTGGAATCTTTATTGAAAAGAAAACATCAGTTACTTTGCAATTTTGTATGCATTGAAGAGTATTTTATTGTAACTTTAATAAATAGATTTTGTGTCATATAATTTTTATTTTCTTTAACATATAATGAAGCTCACATATTTTACATTATTAAAAAAAGATTTGAAGCCAATCATTGAATTTTTCATTATAACAAAAGAAAAACAATTGAACTGAAAATTTTAAGAGATAACACAATTTTTTTTACTAAGTGATTATTTCATATAGTGAACGTGCATTAGAGTGATGCTTTATTGCATGTTTGGGAACAATACTATGTTTTATCAATAGATACTGTCTTTAATAGGCCAAAATTCTTCTTCTTCTTTTTTTTTTTTTTCTTTCTAGGGGAAGCTTATTCTTTTAAAACTGGGCCTTTTAAAAAACAGTATCAAAATAGGCTTAGCATTCGGTATCTTAAGAGAACCATTCTGATTTGGAGAATATAGTTATGTGTCTCATAAAGTTTTTTAAATGTATGAGATTGTTATTTGTATATAAAAATATTTTAAAGGCGCTTAAATGTGTTTTCTTTCTATAGTTTAAAATGAGTAGATTTGATTCTGTATGCTTTTTTCCCCCCTGTATCTATTACTTTTTAGGAGGATGATTATTTAGCCACAGAACTTCCCCAGATTGGTTCTTGTTTGGAAAAGATTCCTTGGTGGTTTTTACATTGCTGAATAGATTGAAGTCTTAAATTGTAAAGTTTTCATTCTTTTTTTTTTTTTAATTGAAGTATAGTTAACATACAATGTTCCATTTGTTTCAGGTGTATAACGTAGTGATTTGACAATTCTATGTGTTACTCAGTGCTCACCAGGATGAGTGTAGTCACCATATAAAGTTACTGCAATGTTACTGACTGTATTTTCTATGCTGTACTTTTTATCTCCAGGACTTACTTATTTTATAACTGAAAGTTTGGATCTCTTAATCCCCTTCACCTATTTCACTCATCCCCCTAATCCCTCCCCTCTGGCAACCACCAGTTTGTTCTCTATATTTAAGAGTTTGTTTGTTTTGTTTTGTAGACTACACATATAAATGAAATCAGATGGTCTTTGTCTTTCTCTGTTTATTTCACTTAGCATAATACCCTCTAGGTCCCTGCATATTGTGAATGGCAAGATCTCATTCTTTTTTATGGCTGATAATATTCCATCCTGTGTATTTATATAGCACATCTTCTTTATTCATCCGCTGATGGACACTTGGGTTGCTTCCATATCTTGGCTATTGTTAATAATGCTGCTTTAAAACATAGGGATGCATATATCTTTTTGAATTAGTGTTTTTGTTTTCTTTGGGTAAATACCCAGCAGTGGAATTGCTAGATCATATGGTAGTTCTATTTTTTTTTTTAAGATGTTATCTATTTATTTGAGACAGAGAGAGAGCTCGAACGGGAGCTAGGGGCGGAGGGACAGGGAGAAACAGACTCCCCACTGAGTAAGGAGCCTGACATGGAGCCCAATCCCAGGACCCTGAGATTATGACCTGAGCGGAAAGCAGACGCTTAACCAACTGAGCCACCCAGGCGCCCCATGGTAGTTCTATTTTTAATTTTTTGAGGATCCTCCATATTGTTTTCTACAGTGGTTGCATCAGTTTACATTCCCACCAATAATGCAAAAGGGTTCCCTTTTCTCCACATCCTTGTCGACACTTGTTATTTCTTGTCTTTTTGATAATAGCCATTCTGACAGGTGTGAGGTGGTATCTCATCATGGTTTTGATTTGCATTTCCTGGGTGATTAGTGATATTGAGCATCTTTTCATATATCTGTTGGTTATCTGTATGTCTTCTTTAGAAAAATGTCTATGCAGGTGCTTTGCCTATTTTTTTTTTTTTTTAAGATTTTATTTGCTCGAGAGAGAGAGCACGAGAGATCGAGAGCACAGGCAGGGGGGAAGTGGCAGAGGGAGAAGCAGACTCCCCGCTGAGCAGGGAGCCTGATGTGGGCCTCAATCCCAGGACCCTGGGATCATGACCTGAGCCGAAGGCAGACGCTTAACTGACTGAGCCACTCAGGTGCCTCTTTGCCTATTTTTTAATCGGATTGTTTGTTTTTTGGTGTTGGTTGTGTAATTTCTTTATATATTTTGGATATTAACTCCTTATTGGATATATTATGTGCAAATATCTTCTGTCATTCAGTAGATTGCCTTTTTGTTTTATTGGTGGTTTCCTTACCTGTGTAAAAGCTTTTTATTTTGATGTAGTCCTAATATTTTATTTTTGCTTTTGTTTCCCTTGCTTGAGAAAAATCCATAAATGTGTTGCTAAGGCCGATGTCCCACAGATTACTGCCTATGTTTTCTTTTAGGCGTTTTATGGTTTCAGGTCTCACATTTAGGTCTTCAATCCATTAAATAGTAAAGTTTAAAAAATAATTATGTGTATGCTTTATTCTGGCAAGGAGTACTAATTTACATGGATACTCTAAAAAAGGCTTTCATTTTTTCACTTAGTAGTATGAATTCCACTTAAAAGAAAAGGGGAGAAAGGGGCACCTGGGTGGCTCATTTGGTTAAGCGTCTAACTCTTGATCTCAGCTCAGGTCTTGATCTCAGGGCTCCATAAAAATAACAACAACAAAAAGACAACAACAACAACAATGACAAAAAAGAATCACAAAAATAATAGCAATATTCACTAGGTACTGTATTGAATGTTCTGCTTTAGTCTGATAAGGAAAACATTCATGTAAACATAAGGTCTTAGAGAGAAATCTAATAAAAAGTACAGAAGGTTTTATTAGTAATAATGTTACTACTTGCTAAATGCTTTTTTAAATTTTGCTTAAAAGAAACAAGGAAGAGGGCTAATTATCATTTACATGATCCACTCTGTTATCTCCTACTAATAGTTTCTTAAGAGGCTCCTAAAATCAGGAGGGATTAAGAAGAATGTTGAGAAAATCAGTATGTTTTCTATTTCTATTCTTATTCTCTCTGTTTTTATATGCCAGCGGGCTGGCCACCTTTATTAGGCATGGGAAAAATTGGTAGTGGAGGATTATGGAGATAATGGTTCCCTTTTATAAGGATTATTTAAAATACAGATAGACCATGTATTATAATATTGACAAAGCATAATTATCTAAAGTAGTTGCATTTCTCTTTTAAAAGTGCAAATAATATACCTAATAAAGGATTTGTATCTAGAATATATAAAGAATTCTTACAACTCAACAGTAAGAACACAAACAATTCAATAAAGGAAGCAAAAAATTTGAATAGTCACTTTCCAAGGAAGATATAGGATTAGCAAATGAACTTGTAAAAAGATGCTCAGCTTCAATTGACATTAGTGAAATGCAAAGTAAAACCACAGTGAGATACCATTTCACAGCTGCTAGACTGGCTAGAATTAAAGATAGTTGCAAGCAATGGCAAAGATGTGGAGGAACTGGACCTCACACTGATGGTGAAGTTGCAATTAATGTATAACCATTTTGTAAAACAGCTCAGTGATTTCTTAACAAGTTAAACATCTACCTATTATATGATCCAGTCATTTCACTTCTTGATATTTACCCAACAGAAAAGAAAGCATATGTCTATACAAAGAATATAACATAGCTTTATTTGTAATACCTGAAAACTGGAAACAACCCAAATATCGACCAAAGGAGCATATATGAACAAATAGTCATATATACATATAATAGAATACTGTACTCAACAATAAAAATGAATGAACAGTTAGTACATGCAGCAACATGGGTAAATTTTCATAAAAATTATGCTGAAAGAAGCCATACAAAAGAGAGTACATACTATTTGATTTTTTTTTTTTTTAATTCTAGAAAATACAAACAAATCAAATGACAGAAAGCAGATCCATGGTTGTGTGGGATGGGGAGTTGGGAGAAGTAAGGTGAGATGGACTATTTGGGGGAATGATAGAAATGTTCATTAATCTGATTGTGGTACTGGTTTCACAGGTATATACATATTCCAAAATTTATCAAATTATACACTTTAAGTATATTCAGTTTATTGCATGTCAATTAAACCTCAATAAAGCTGATTTAAAAATAGCTTATTTTACCTGTTTCACATAGTAATCATTCAAAGATGCTAGATTTGAAGTAGTTCTATGTCTTACTGAAAGGATCTGAAAATAAAAAACTAAGATTGAAGAGCGATTTTAATAGCTAATGAAACAGTGACAGCCAGTTCACTCATTCATAATCAGTATTTGTTTTTGAGTATTGGACAAACTGTGCAGTTATAAGATTTAAATTTTTAAATTTCACATGTAATCAAAATGTAAGATACTTTCAAAGTCAGCTTATTAGCTGGGGAAATATTGTCATAAGAAACTGTATAAAACTGTGGAATTTTAAAATACAGCATTTCCAAGTCACTAAGATGTACAGCTGAAACTAATGTAACACTGTGTGTTAACTATACTCACATTAAAAAATTAACTTTAAAAATTAAAAAAATAATAAAATAAAATACAGTGGTTCATTGAACACTAATAAACAGGCAACTCTAAAAAAGACTAGTAGATATTGGGTATTAAATTAGATTTAATAAGGAGGCCAAGATAAATATGATGCAGACCTTGCTTTCCAGTTGCTTATAATCTATTAGGGGAAATAATAGATTTCTAATGAGCCAAATCAGAAATTAGAGTGGTAAGATCTCTAATTGATGGGTAAGGGTATAGAGGAAGGGAAAGTTGACTTTCTGTTCAGGAAGACCGAGGTGAAGCTAAAGAAGACATTTGTAGAGAAAGTGGAATTTTTAAAAGACTATTTGTAATATCTAGTTATTTACTTTTCAAGCCTATTCTTGAATCCAGACTATCATTGTTTTTATGAGTAACAATTTGAAACAGATGATTTGTGTGTTAAGAATTAAGGGATGTTTTGTATATTTACTCTTGTTTGAAAGTTTCCAACAATTAAAACACAATCTTGAAAGTAATTTTAGTTACCATGCCTTCTGTTCTTTCAGCCATTATGACTACTAACTTAGTAATTAATGTAATACACTAGATTAATACACCACAGTATAAATTTTTATGAGTGTAAAATTCTAGTGTTTTAGAAAATTGTTATTGTTCTAAAATTCTTAATAAAATGTTGGCTTATATATTATTTTTATTAATTGAATTCTTGATTACTTCTTTATTTTGTCAATTACCTTTTTAAAATGATAAATTTTGGGGGTGCCTGGGTGGCTCAGTCGTTAAGCATCTGCCTTCGGCTCAGGTCATGATCCCAGGGTCCTGGGATTGAGCCCTGCATCCAGCTCCATGCTCAGCGGGAAGGCTGCTTCTCCCTCTCCCACTCCCCCTGCTTGTGTTCCCTCTCTCGCTGTGTGTCTCTCTGTCAAATAAATAAATAAAATCTTAAACAAAAAGGTAAATTTTATAAAATGTGTTACATTAAAGCATTAGGGAAAATAATACTTTGTAGTTGTAATTATATGTGGAACTTTTGCCTTGAGCATCTTTTAAACCAAGATTATCTTCTCTTGCCCACATCGTTTGGCTTTCCCCACTTCTATGACTCCCTAGGTGAAAGTGCCCTCTCTTTCTTCTGTGGCTAATCCCATTACCATCGTTTGTCTTCTCTTGTCCTATCTGGTGAATAGAACCAACTTACTATTTTGTACATATAGGCAAAATTACAATTGGACCAATCTAAAAGTGTTCTACTTGCTTATGAAACCTTTTTCTGGGTGAATTTTTATTTCAGGAAATGGTATTTCACCTCATGTATTAGTGAAGCTCTAGCATTTACCATCTCAGTTGTTGTAATTACTGTTTGTGACCATCAGCTTTCCACTGATAGAGTTCAGTGATCATCATAAGATATTCTTCCACTTTGCATTTGCTTTTCTGATGTTGAGAGTAAATTATGATTCTCTCCCTGTGGTCTTAGAAATAATTTCCCAAACTGTTTTTATAGACTTTATTCTGCGACTAGCTCTCCTCTTTACTCTGGCATTCATCTATAGCTGGAGATCCAGATTTTAACAGATCATTTCCTGTTATTACTACAGCAGTATCAAAATACTGATCACTTACCAAGAAGCAAAGTATCCAAAAGACTGAAGCAGAGAGTTCAGCCAGCTGTTTGTTTTTCAACTGTTAAAATTTGTAAGAATCATATGTTAAATGGATATGGCTACAAAATGAACCAGGGATAGCCTAGGTAAAAGGAGAATGGTAAGAAGCCATCCAGCTCTTAAGTTAAAACAAGCTCACGTGTTTACCAAAGACAAAGAAACGGAATTTTGCTGTTTTAAAGTGCTGTTGTTTTAGGTAGCATTCAGTAACTACTAGGAGATGCAGGTAACCTGTTCTTTGGAAGTTTTATTTTTTTTCTAAGTCATTAGGGCTGTTAATATAAAACCCTTTTTTTTTTCTTGAAATTTTCAGTTGTTAGACTGGCAGTCGGGTATGATTTTGACTCCTCTCCTTCATCTTCCCATACTCAGTAATGCCAAGTTCTGCAGATTCTTTCTCCACATTAATTATCACTTTTAGTTTCACTCCATTTGCATCTCTCTAGGCCAATTGCAGGAAGCTCCCAATTGGACCATTGGTCTTTAGTTTATGCAAAGATAAAGTTATCCAAACAATATTCCATCATATGGCTTTCTGTAAAATCTATACTAATTGCACATTACCTATATAAATTTACCTATGTAAGTAAACCCAAAGTCTTCTGGCATCCCTTCAAGGCCATACATCTTCCCTGCCTCTTTTATAACCTTTTCATATGAATTCTCAGAATTTTTGCTCTAGCCCAGCAAATATGCTTGTCTGTTTTATGCACACAACTCCCTTATTCTCATTTTACCATTTTATAGTAACATCTAATGGCCTTTAATATCACTGTTCTAACAATTGATACTTTCCTAAACAAATTGGCTCAAAAGTCACTCCCTTGAATGCCTTTACTTATCTGATTTTAATTCTGTGTATTTTGGTAATTCTTTTATTCTAAATCCTCTTAGCACTTACATATTCTGCCAGTACTGTATTAACATATGAATGTCATTGTGTATGTTGCTAACTCCTGAAGACAGAGTCAGACAAGGAATGCATTATTACAGTTCTCAACATATAGTAGGCATGAAGTAAATATACATTGTTTTTCTAAGATCTTGTATTGACATACTTTATGCCTTATATCTCATTTTCACAAAATCACTGTGTCAGGGCGATGCTTAATTATGAATAACAAATCCCTGCCACGGTGACTTAAATAAGTTTTTATATTTCTTGTATATTAAAAATTCTGGAGATCCATGTTTGTTTCACTAGCTTCCTGAGAATTCTTAGGTCCTTCTCATGGTCAAAAAATAGTTGCTGTCATCCTCTCACATTGGCACTTGAGGGAGAAGGGAGAAGAGTAGCACTGGCCGTGTCTGTCTTCCGTTATCCCCAGGAGTCTCGTCAGAACTGGGTCATACGGTTGTCTCTACCCAAGAGGGAAGCTTGTCTGGGAAGGCAGGGAGCACGATTGTCATTGTTGCCTTAGGCAAACTACTGTTTTCTAGGGCAAAACACATCATCTCCCTAAAAAAAAAAAACCAAAACACAAAACTACAAACAGTATTCTCTCTGTGAGGAAGAAGGGAGACTAGATATGAGGTAAACAGTAAGCAGTATCTGCCACACACAATCTTTCTAAGCCTCAACACCCTCATCTGCAAACTGGAAATAATAGCGGTACTCACCTCAGAGGTTTAAGTGAGATAATAAATGGAAACACTTAGCACAGTGTGTGGCAAATAGCAGTATTCAACAAAAAGTAGCTGGTTTTGTTACTAGTTTGTCTTCAGTTCATGTGGTTTGATCTGAGAAATCTATGGGGAAGAAATGGCTGTTTTTCCCCCTCTTCCCTCATGAATTCTGCTGGACTTGGGAAGATAACCGCTAGTTCTGCAACACCGCCTGTGTGGTAACCTTAGAACCCCTTTTTAGCATCTGTATTTTATTATCTATCATATACTTACACCCTGCCATGATAGCAATTATGTAGAATTTTCCCACACAAAGCAGTAGGACCCTCTAAATTCTGTAAATTCTGTTACAGTGGGTGGGGGCTAAGACAAACTTTTTAGTTATTAACTACATTGTCCTTTTGAGCCCATGCAAAATATCAAAGCTCATTTCTTGCATTTTTCAACCTTACCAAAAAGGAAAACATACTTGATACAACTTTCCAGTGTTGTAAGCTGGAGTAGATGAACAGCCCTGTAAGTTCTTTAAGATACACATTTCCAGAAGCAGGAAGTGAGTATCATGCTAGAAGAGAAGCTCCAGCACACTTACCATATCTAACTAGTTCTAAGCCAGTCTGCTAGACCCTTTATTACTCCTGATCTAGGTCTGAATCCCTTAGCTGCTGGTAGCTACTTCTTGTTGATGTCCTGTCTTGCCCCTTTAGAATTTTATGATAAGCACTATTTTGCTAGCTCCAAACTTGTCTCTTTTCAGTATCGTTCTCTCAGGCCACTATGAATAAGCTTTCTCTGTTTTGATCCACTGAGAAGAAGTTCCTGTTCTAGACTATCTTTAATAACATAACTAATCAAGTTAGTAATACTGTGCCAATGAAGAACGATAAGTAGCTTGGCTTAGGATATATACTAAGGCTGGAAGGCATACATTTTATAAAGATTTACTTAGAAGGGATTAACCCACAGTGTCAATTTTTAATTATTATGGATACTTGATTGCTCATTCCTATCAAACAAAAAAAAGATGTTTATAATGCTGTGAAAAAGAAAAATATTGCATCTTTTTTCAAACAACATGTACTATTGAATGTCTTAAATCCCGTGTAGAATACAAATAAGAAGAAAACATATGTCTTATTCAGAAAGAACTTATGGTCTAGCTGTTGATGGCTAGGGACACACAGAGACATTCACACATCCTCAGTATGAAGTAGTATTGAGTAAACCAGATACCACCAATGCCTAGTGTAGTTGTAAGGTTCTTAGGGAAGAGAAAGACACTCATGTATATAAGGTTATCTGAAGAGGCCTCCTTCCTTGGTTCTGTACACGTTGAGAAACAAATAGTGAAGATGAAGGCTGAAATAATTACCTTCTTTCCTGAAGGCTGATGGATGTCTGTCGAAGTCTTAGCTAATTTGGGTTTCTAATAATGAATCCCTAAGATTCATGTCATGGCTGGCTGCACACTGAATGGGGCAGGATGCTCTCTCAAAGAAGGAGGATGGAACAGAGCCATATATTCTGAATTGTTCTTCCTATATTCACAAATCAGTTGTTAACCTCCTCAGGGCCATGTGACAGGTTGGAGAGAGGTCCAGAGTAAAGGAATTGAACCTCCTTCTAGTTGAGAATCATCAGGAGTGGGGAAAAAAGTGTTCCTAAATTTACACTCTAGTTCCAAAACATGCAAATTTAAGTAGAGTGAGATGAAATGGGGAGGCATTTAGGCATGGAAAATTACAAATTTGTGGAGGAGTGAGGAGGTTATTTTCAGACTGTAGTACAGTGGGGTGCTAACCTGAGTAATCTGTAACATCTTTAAGTTACAGGATGGAAAAAAGGTAGGGTAGGATGTGGTGAAAGTTTACTTTTACCCTGTTATAACTATGGTTTTATATCCATACCTTTATATATTTCTTATATTTAATGCTATATTAAAACTTCGGAGAAGAAAAGAGGCAGTATGGGTAGCCTAACACCCCCTACCATTATAAGTTGTAAAGGACACTGTGGAATAAAAACCCTAGCTTTTGAAACAATTTTGTGTAAATTAAAATGTTTAGTATTTGTCTAAGATTATCTAATATTATCTAAGATTGAAACCATGGAGAAGGTTATCAGAAGTTTGCCTGGGATAAAAAGCCGGGTGGAAATCTGTGTTTTTCCAAAGGGCATTCCTTAGAGATTGATGCTTGTGGAATCCTAGAAATGTCCACCCAGTTTGGATCCGTTGTTCCAGGTTCCCTCTTCCATTCCAGAGATTTAGGTAGTAAATGGAATTCTTAGAAAAATACACTTGTAAGCAAGACCATCAGAAATCACACACAGCTCCAAATAAGGCTCTCAAGTGGCCATTACAAAAATATTTGAGTTCTTGGAATATGGCATGTTGTGTTTTTAAACAGAATCATCATTAGTAGGAACACAACTTCATTCCTTTGGGTCCAATTCATGCTTGTCTTACGTCTAATTGCTTTTGGATTCAAAATAAGAAAGCCTTATTTTAAAACTGAAGAAGGCTTTGAAACAGTATTATTCATACTATAATTCTTTTTAAAGATGTGTCAACTGGGGCGCCTGGGTGGCTCAGATGGTTAAGCGTCTGCCTTCGGCTCAGGTCATGATCCCAGGGTCCTGGGATCGAGTCCCGCATCAGGCTCCCTGCTCCTTGGGAGCCTGCTTCTCCCTCTGCTTCTCTCTCTCTCTCTCTCTCTCTCTGTCTCTCATGAATAAATAAATATATTAAAAAAAAAATCTTAAAAAAAAAAAAGATGTGTCAACTGAAGCATGAGATATACTAGTGATATGAAGAGACAATACAATCTAAGCAGTTTCTTGTTTTAAATAATAGTAACCATTTTGCATATACTCTGTAGCTAGTGAATATAGTAAGAGGAAATATTTTAATGGGAAGGTTCTGTATGTGAAATTTTTCTTTATTATTTGCAAGCTAGAAGAAAGTCACTTGGTTGTATAGGAATTAGATGAGCACCTGAGTCCTATCTTACGATAGTCTTTGGCTGATTTTGTCAGCTTTTTTTTTTTTTTTTTTAGCCTTTTTCCTTTTTAGTTGTGTGTATGAAGCATAATGTATATACAGTAAAGTGCACCAAACACCAGCTTAATGAATTAGGTCAAGGTAGACACCTATGTACATGCCAAAGATTAGAACACCTCAGTATCCTGGAAGCTCTCTCTGTGTCCCCTCTCAACCACTTTTTTCTCCTAGATCAAGTTCTTCCAGCTTGTTCTTTTTTAACTATTTCAAACATTCTTGGCCTTTTTCATTACTATATACATTTTATATTCAGCTTATCAGCTTACACATAAACACGTACACGCACACACAAACTATAGAATTTTTATTGGGATTGCTTTGAATCTATAGATCAATGAGAACACTTTTCAATATTGAGTCTTCTGATTTACAGAAGACTCCATTTGTTAGAGACTTTAATGTCTTTCAATAGTGTCATAGTTATCTTGGGAGACATCTTGTATATTTTTTATAGATTTATTCCTAGGAATTTGATACTTTTGATGCTATTACAAATGATACTTAAAGAAGTTTATTTTGGTAAATTGAAGTAAAATTGATTTTTGTAAATTTATTTTATAATCAGCAACTTTCTAACTTTCCCCTTAATTAAAATAATTTTTCTGTAGATTCTTTTGGATTTTTTACATCTCTAAATGATGCCTCTTTTTTATTTTTCTTTCCTTATACTTTTATTTTTCTTATTATACTAATTATGCCTCCAGTAATGTATTAAATAGAAGTCTGAGATGTTAAATTGAACACTGAAAGCAGTCATTCTTCCCTTGTTTCTGATCCCAGTGAGAAAGCTTCAAGATTTCACCATTTTGTATGATGTTTGCTTAGGTTTTTTCCAAGAATGCTTAGGTTTTTTTTCAAGAAACCCTTAATAAAATTAATGCTAGTCTTTTCTATTTTTAGTTTACCAAAATCATTTGTTCGTTTTAAAATCATGAATGAATACTGAGGGTATAAAAAGCTTTTCTTGCACCTATTGAAATAACCATATGATTTTTTTCTTTTTTATTATTATGTTGGATTATATTGGTTGATTTTTACATGTTGAATAACCATCTTTCTGGAATAAATCTAACTTGACTATAGGCATTATCTTTTGTTATGAATCACTGAACTTGGTTTGGTAAAAATTAGTTTAGAAATTTTTCATCCATGTGCATCAATGGTTTTTGCATCGAGTGAGATTAGCCTATAGTATTCCTTTTTGTACTGTCCTTTTCATGTTTTGGTATTAGAATTATTTTGGCTTCATAAAATAAATGAGAAAGTTTTTGTTTGTTTTCTGGAAGAGTTTGTATGAGCTTAGAGTAATTCCTTAAATGACTTAAAATATTCATTGTGAAGACATATTTATAGGTTTGATTTCTAATTCTAAATAGATGAATTATTTAGATTTTTGTCCTTCCTCTTGTGTAAGTTTTGGTAATTTGTATTTTTCTGGGAGTTTATCCATTTTGTCTACATTTCAAATTTATTGGCATAAAGTTATTCAGATTATCATTTTATGATCTTTATAATGTCTGTAGGATCTGTATTATTAGATCTCTCATCATTCCTGATATTGATTATTTGTGATATCCTTTTTCTTTTTCATTAGTCTCAGCAAAAATGTATCAATTCTGTTAGTATTTTCCATGAAACAAATGTTGGCTTTATCCTTTCTAATGCATATATTCTATTTCATTACTTTCTGCTCTTTATTATTTTCTTTGGGGCTAATTTGCCTTATTTTTCTAAGTTTTTGAGATGAATACTTAAATTACTGATTTCCAGCATTCTTCTTGTCTAAAATATGCACTTAAAGCTGTAAATTACCCTCTAAGTACAGCTCTGGTTGATCTTAGCACTATACCACTAACTATACCACTAGCATCTAGTTAGAATGATATCTGTTATCAGAATGCTTCTCTTTGACCCATGGGTTATTTAGAAGTACATTTCATCATTTTCTTTCCAAAATATGGGGATTTTCCACGTATCTTTTTTTTTAAAAAGACTTATTTATTTATTTTAGTGGGGGAGGGTCAGAGGGAGAAGGAGAGAGAGAATCTCAAGCAGACTCCCTGCTGAACATGGAGCCCGACGAGGGTTCCGTCCCATGACTCTGAGATCATGACCTGAGCTGAAATCAAGAGTCCAGTGCTCAACCGACTGAGCCACCCAGGCACCCCTCAAAATATCTTTAATCATTGATTTGTAGCATAATTACTCTGTGGTCTAAGAACATATTTTGAAATTTGTTGAAACTTGCTTTACTAGCCCAGCATATGCTCAATTTTTATTAGTGTTTCATAAAAAATTGTATGTTGCAGTGCCCCATGTATGTTAATTAGATCAGGTTTATTAATATGTCCAATATTTTAAACTCAGCTGATTTTTTTTGTCTGCCCATTCTATCAGTTAATAAGAAAGTTGTATGAAAAACTTCCTCATGATTGTGGATTTGTCTACTTTTCCTTATAATTCTGTCAATTTTCTCTTTATATATTGAAGCTAGAATTGTTATATCTTTCTGATGAATCAAACCACTTAAAATGAATGTACTTCTTTGTCTCTATATTGTTTTTATTTTTTGCCATAAAAGCTATTTTTCTGATTTAATAAAACTATACCAATTTTCTTTTGATTGGTGTTGAATGTTACATCTTTTTCCATTCTTTTATTTTTGACCATTTCATATCCTTATATTTCTTATATGTTTTCTGTAAATTGAATATAATTGGGTTTTGTTTTTTACTCAGTTTGGCTTTCTGGGAGGAAGAAATCTATATGGCTTCTCAGGGTACCTGGCTGGCTCAGTTGGAAGATTGTGACTATTGATTTCAGGGTTGTGAGTTCGAGCCTCACTTAAAAAAAGGAAGATACTGCTTCTCACTTGATCTTAGCCAAAAGGCCAAGAAGCAATGGAAGATACTGCTTCTCAAACCCATGCAAGTAAACATCTAGGAGAGAGGTGACAGAAAACTTTAGAAAGGTAGTTTTGGGCCAGATTTTGGAGAGCCTTTTAAAGTCAAGGTAAAAAGTTTGGCCTGTATCTTCTTTCAGGGAACCCTTGAAGAGTTTTGAATAGGTAGGTGAGTAATATGTGTTTTAAGAAGGTTAAATCAGTAAGATTCAATTGGAGCAGGAAGCATTGGAGGCAATAAAGATAGGTTCTGAAAGCATCTTAGTAATGTAGCATCTGGAACAACAGTACCTGATAGATAGTAAGCTTGCAATGAAATATTTGATGACTAAGTGAAAAGCCCAGGTGGGATGTATGAGGGGCCAGATAGGAATATGGCAGTAAAAGTGGCAAGAAATGACTGGAAATATAAAATAGGCAGAATTCTTTGTTTGCTAACATGTGGCTGGGAGGAGATTTAGATAAAAGATAATAAACAGATATAGATATCATGCTGAGATGTTTATATAGGTATCTATTACATGGGGCCTCAGAATAATAAATTAGGTAAGGAGACAATGGTGAATATATTGATTATTAATTTATAAAGTTAAATTTTTATATACATTTATACAGTTAAATTACAAATAGTTAAATATAGGAGAAGATTTAAAGAAGAGTATGACATTTTTCTTCACTACCACCTTGTCCAACTTTTAAACTACTGTGTTCATTTTGATGTGTAGACCAGGATCCTCCAGATCCTATACAGGTGCTTGCTCCACATCAGTGTTTTTGCAGGTACTTTTGACGAAAGAGCCTGAGTTTGCACATTTCCAAAAGGAGGCCATGTTATCCTCCAGTAGCTAACTATTAAGTGCATTTACAACTTTATATTCTTACATGGTGCCAAAGTAATTCAGTGGCAAATAATTGAGTATTTCCTGTTTCTGGGTTTGCCCTGATCTTTCCCCAAAACACAATTATTAATCTTTCCTGAATGGCTACTCATCCATCTTTCATTTTTGTCTATGTTAAGGAATGCAGATTTGTATTAGTTACTAGAATTTTAGGGAATTTTAGACTAATTAGTTAAAATATATGATAATTCTTTTAGTCATGATTATCTAGTAGTCTCTGTCAGACATTTCTGTTGTGTTAATTTCTTGGGTGTTTTAATCTATTTTTGTTTTCTCTTTTGCCTTAAATCTTGGGTTATGAATTTATCTATAAAATTCCTGTGCAACTTGAGTTAGAGTGTTCTTCCAAAATAGTTTTAGATTTACTTCTGTGTGCACTCGTTGGAGATGCTTGGCTTAGGACTTCGTTCTTCATAATCGTTTGACTTGTGGCTTTCTAGACCACATGTGACATAAATTCAGTTTTCTTTTTGTTGTGCAGGCCCAGATTATACATTCCCAAGGGATTTATTTTACCCCCAGCACAGATAAACCAGTTTCCCTATTGTCTATTGTCTTCTTTTTCTGGTGGGGAGATTTTTTTTTTTGCCCCCAACTGAGATTTTAGCCCTTCTAGTTTTATGCAGGGATCTTTTTTTTTTTTTTTTAAGATTTTATTTATTTATTTGAGAGAGAGAATGAGATAGAGAGCATGAGGGGGGGAGGGTCAGAGAGAGAGGCAGACTCCCCGCTGAGCAGGGAGCCCGACGTGGGACTCCATCCCGGGACTCCAGGATCATGACCTGAGCCGAAGGCAGTCGCTTAACCAACTGAGCCACCCAGGTGCCCTATGCAGGGGTCTTAATTTCAGTTTTCCACCTTGCAAGAGCCAAGTTCTCATCTCCTGTCCTTTGCATTACCTTAAAAGCCAAATTCCTAGGTTGCAGCTGTTACTCACCACCCATCATTAAGGCAAATGCAGAGTAGCCTACTCATTTGCCAGTCCTGTTTTTAGTTGCTTCAATATTCCTGGCACCTGGATATTTTTCTTTTATATGGGCTTAGCTGTGCATTCCTTTATAGTTTGTGTAATTTTTCTCAGCATTTCCAGCTAATCTAGCAGAAAAGATTTTTAATGTATAGTCTGCCATATTGCTGAAACTCAAATCTTGAATTCTTTCCACATCGATAGTTTTTTCTTCATATATTTCCAGATAGCCTTGATTTCATTTTATTTCTTAAGGACATTGCATTAATAGTTCGAGTGGCCTTAAAATAAGAATATTTTCCCTTTTTTGATTTAATTTAAAATTATGATGTTGCTAGACCTTGCCACATCATAAATTCTACTCAGAGGCACAAAGGGAATAATTCATTCTAAATATTGATAGAAGACTAGCCTTTTTATCTTGGTCTGAGAAAGTAACCTTGAGAATGCATCCCATGTGACTAAATAACACCAAATTCAGTATGACGACTACCTTGGGGTCTAGGGGCAAGAGGAATTAGGAATGAGATCATTAGGGGAGGCTTCAATTACATTTGTAATGTTTTATTTCTTAAGCTGAGAGGTGTATACCCAAGGGTTTATTATATTCTCTACATTTTAAAACTATATGAAATGCCTCATAGTAAAAATGATTGCAAAGGGAATTATCACCATAAGGAAATTGTACTGTATCTTTTAATTTCACATAACAGAAGCTACGTGGGGCATTTGTCACTGTCATATGCATTTGTCAAGTGAAAAGATAGTCTTCCATATTAAAGAAGGAGTAAGTTGTTATTTCAACTACTGTTCACATTTAGCTCTTTCCATATTAGACTTTGTTTCCCCATGCCTGTTAAAAATGTTACATGCCTGACCACATACTCCAGCCTGTCCGGTGATTATACTACTTCCAACTTGGGCAGTAATTCTAGCTTTACCCAGAATAGCCACAGGTTAAATATGAATCATCTTCCATGCTAGAAAAGGCCCTTTTCAGTGTTTTCACAATCAGATTCTCCACTGATTTTCTTTGTTCACATTCAGTGCAAGCGTTGCTGTTGAGTGATCTTGTTCACGCACATCTTTAACACTGAAGTATGAGAGGAAGGAAGGGCTGGCGTGCAGAAGCATCCAGGTTCTTTCAGAGGTTTACTGAGGCCTGGTGGTCTCCTTGCTGCCTTGCATAGACTCCCTCTTGTCCTCATAGCAACATGAAAAACAGTGAACACTTACCGAGTGCTCTCTCTTTGTGCCAGTCCCTTGGAGGCATTCTTTATGTATTATCATATTCAACCCCTGTAATAATCTCGTAGTTATTATTCTCCCCTTCTTAGAATGAAAGAAACAGATTGATTGCTTTGACTAAATCACACAGCTACTAAATGATGAAGTTGAATGTTTGCTGAAGTAACTTTTCTTCCTCTCTCTCTGTCCATAAAATACCATCTAGTGTTGATACCACCTTGCAGTAATCAATAATTTAATATTCCTTAAGCATCAGAAACATTCACATAGCTGTGATGAAATATGTAGGGCTTAGCTGATTTGTGTTGAGAAACAGTAGAGAAGAGGGAAATACAAGGAATGGATGAGCAGTCGAAAGCCAGCTGGCTCATCAGGATGCAGGAGTGGTCCGAGGGCAGAATGCCTGTTAGAATTCAGCTGCCTGAGGCTGTGGTAGAGTACCTATTGATGTTGATGGTATGTGTGGATAAGAGAGGTATGCGGCCTCTGGTTTTACGTTTTCTGTCATACCAAAGACTATTAAAAGGACAATATTGTCCTGGGATTCTCACCTTTGACCTAAACGAATAAAACCTTCCCTCTCACATCACTACTGTGAGGAGAGGGGGTGGGGCAGGATGGGGATGCAAGGATAAAGAAATATGGAAAGGTGGCCAGGCCGTATTGCTTCCTATTTCTTTATAGACTTAGCCCATTGCTTTTTAGAAAAAGAAAAGGAAGAATGGAGGGGAGGGCTGGAGGGACAGAGAGACGGAAAGCAGGAGAGATTGATTCAATACAGAGAAGAGTATTCACTTAATATTTCTGTCTGTGGCTTCTTACAGAATAAGGGGGCTTGCATCACTATGTTGTGACTTTACAACTTTGAGAATAAATCAGTGTGATTTAATTTAAACTGAGCCTTGTAAAGAGCAAGGGATCTCTTTCCCCCAGTCTTTCTTAGAGAAACTCACATATCTCCAAACTTTGTCTTGAATTATTGTTTCTAGGTCATACTGAGGCTTATGTTTAATTATTCTGGCCTCGTTTAAGTAATTCTGGGCCTGAGGCATTTAGACCTTTAGGGCCCTTCATTGGCTTCGCAATAAATCATAAATTACTATAATCTCAATTAAAATAATACTTCATATATCCAACTTCATATATCCATTGTCATCTAAATGTGGTCTACTCTAAATCCCACTATGAATATAGTATAATAATTATTAATAAATTAGTAATAACATTGGGTCATAGGACCCTGAGGCATGAATAGGGATGTGAGCAGACATTTTCTTTTGCCTTCAGAATTTCACAGGTGTCCAAAAACATTGTAAAGATGTGAGAAGGGGCCAATCTAAGGACAAATGCCCTGAGGTGGCCAATAAATAGCTCTGCTTGTGTGAATATTTCGCTGCTTTGTAGTTAAAAAATCAGTAATTAAATTGAAATTAGGTCTTGTGGAAAACTGTGAATCTATTTTCTTCAAACTTTCTTAGAAAGATTCAAGTATTTTCAGCGCTCTCCCTGATGTCAGATTTTGAGCCCTCTGTTCTCTGATCCCTTGAGCAGCTGCTACCTCACTACCCTCTTCCCTTATGTTTCTGATAAGGACAGTTGAAAATTTT